CTTTAATGACAATTTGTCCACAGGGGATGAAGACTGGAGATATTCCAGGACAAGAGACACATTCCAAATTTCCGTGTTCTTTGGTCTTGGAGGTTTTTCCTGAAAAATGCCTTTCATCAACCTGAACACTAATGGGTGTTTTCCTACACATGTCCCATCCTCTAAAGTTACATAGCTAGACAAAGCGCTTCTGGCAGTGTTGATGGCATTGTAGGTAAGGCCTTGTTGATATAGCGCAGTAAGAAAATCAAGCACAGGCACTACAGATGGTTGAGTGTGATTGATTTGCCTCTGAGCACAAAATTTTTGCCATTTCTTGATGTAGGTAATGTATTGTTTCTTTGGTGCCTTGACTCTGAATCCTAACTCTTCTACAATTAATTATTTCTTAAGAGCGTATTACAGACGAGTTGACGTTCACCTAAATGTAGCATAAGTGTATAACTATGTTTACTCACCTTGAAGTTTATCCTTAAAATATTTTAAACCCAGTTTAAATCAAATTTATACCGGTGTTTAAGTTGCTATAACCTCAACATTATTTTAGTTAACGTCAATCTAAGACGAGATTAATTCACGTTTAAGTCAACTTATATAAGTTTTTTCCCTTTGTGCGGTTACCCGGTGGTTTACACAATGGCCCCCAACAAATCCTACTAAATATAAAAATACATAGTAAAAAATTCATAAAACCAAAACTGTACTTTAAACGTCCTACTGATCTTAAAATGCTCTATCGAAGTGTTTTCTTTAATAAAATTTTTCAGTAATGTTATCTTAAAATTTGAGTGGGAAGTTATGTTTCTAAATGAGTTACCTACTAGTTTATTCCATAGCCTACATGCACTTGAGTGGAAAGTTCTAAGCCCTGAGTTTCTTTTACAAGATGGTGTTAGAACGTCATTACAGATAGCAGATCTAGTACAATAACCATGTGAAGATCTGACATATTTAAAATATGAACCAATATATTCAGGACAATGACATTGGCTAACTTTATGTAGCATACAAAGTTTTCTGACGCGTACAATGTCATCTATAGGTAACCAGCCTGATTCATTAAAAGGTTCAACGGAACTATCGTTGATGGTGGCGTCCAAACTTAATCTCCCGCATCGTTTTTGTACTTGCAACAACCTTTGAAGGTTTTCAACCGAGCAATTACCCCAAACAGTACAACGGTACTCAAGAATTGGCTTAACGAGAGCATTATATAACATTTTTCTGCCTTCAATAGTTAAATAAACTTTTGCCCTCTTGAGGAGAAGTATCCTAGAGTTCAACTCTTTTAGAAGATAATCAATGTAGGTCCCAGGAAAGATAAGGATCGATCACAACACCGCGAAGTTTTTCTCCAGCTGATTCCTCAAGTCTTACATTGTCCAAGGAAAGCTCTAACGTAGTTATTTCACTGTGATAGAGTTTTTCGCTTTTCCGATAAGTAAGTACTTGGTCTTTTTACTATTGGGTTGCATTTCATTAAGTTTAAGCCAGCTTTTCGCTTTACTTAGACTCACATTTAGAGTTTGTTGTATCTCATTACGATCGGCACCACTTAACCAAATAGTTGTGTCGCCAGCATAGATATCCAGTTCAGTTTCACTTACGCTCTCTGAGAGCCAAGTTCTTTTCTATTTCTAGATTCCTATAATGAAGTTTCCCAAACTGTACCCCAGGTAAGCTGGAGACAATTGTGCCAACTAATTGGACTAGCTCGGTGATAGTGGTTTCATGTTTGTGTTGCATTGCTGTACAGTTAGCTTTTACTTTGGCTTTTTTGTCATCAGTGAGGGTAATTGTCATTGACACAAAGTCAAAGACAAAACCTAAAGATATAATTCGCTGAGCTGGTGTGACAGATGATTTTTGCACATTAATCACAAACCCCAAACTTGAAAATAATTTCTGCGTATCAGAGATATTAGGCAGGCATTCATTGGTATCTCTACCCTGGAGGTACGAATCATCTATGTACCCCACATTCAGGTGACTTTTCTGTCTCAAGGTAGAGTACACTGGTTTCATCAACTTAATAAAACACGTGGGTGCAGATGAAAGCCCATTTGGCATACATGTGCACTGGTAGAGAAAACCCTTTCAGTAAAATCTCAGATACTTACGATGTTCCTTAGCAATGGGAACTAAGTAGTACGCATCTTTTAAATCGATTGTCGTCATGAAACAGTTTGGAGTCATGAGTCACACAGCAGACCACAGAGTATCCATTTTGAAATGGTGTTTCTCTATGTGCTTGTTAAGCCTCTTTAAATTCAAAATCATGCGGTATTGACCGCTTTTCTTTTTTCTGACAAATACAGTGGAAATGTATCCATCTGGAGTGTGTACAGCAGGCCCAATGACACCTAATTCAAGCAGGTGAACAATTTCTGAGGTAATTATTCCTTCCTCTTTAGAGTCAAACTGAATATCAGGCCTTGGCATTAGTTAAGTTGGATTTTCAATCTCTAGGTGGCAGTGCTGTACCATATCCAATATATCTTGGTCTGCTGTGATACTCATCCATGTTGAAACAAAATGCCTCAGCCTACCAGCAAATTCATTTGTTGTTAGACTAACCTGTATGGGGTTTGAGCTTAGTTGTTCTTCTTCTGAAGTGGAGGGGTCTCTGGAAGTTCAGATTCTTGGACTGCTTATTGTTGGAATTGTGAGGGCGAACACATTTCTTTCCACGCCAGCCATGGTGTTACTGGCTACTCTTTGAGTAATTAGAGCTGCCATCCTTGGTGAGCTTTGAACTCAGCCTGTTTGTGTCTGAAATGTCTTTAACAGCCTTTGGGAGATCATCTCCAAACAATTCGGCCGTCACTGGATTTGATGGGCTGCAAAGGTGTCTATAATTTGTATTGAGTTGTGGTCTCAACAACTCTCTCCGTCGATAGTTTAACTCCTGATTAGCATTTGCCAAGAGGAGCACCCCATCCATTAGAGCAGTAACAGTATCTTCTTTCTGAGTTTCTGAGTTGCCCATCAACTTGATCACCTCTGACACGACTACTATTATTCCTTTAATCAGACTTTTATGAACTTTTAGAGTTTTAAGTCAGTTGACCGAGCTGACTCATCTAAATTGTTCCAGACACCCTGATTGATCTTTGTCTCCGACAAGGTGGCGCAATTTTCGGGAGTTTCGTGTTGTTTCTTTAACTCCATTATTTTGTCTTCATTAGCTTTCTCCTTCATAATCTTATCCACAAGTGACGCAAGTTCTCCGTCGATAGCGGGACCGACGTGTTCGGTGAGCTGTAGGGTTTTGTCAACTTAGTAATCAGGGGATTGCTGTTCTTTCCTTGTTCGCTTAGTCTCTTTTTCTTGGCGGGTGGCTCTTCCTCGACAAGTGATTCACCATCGTCCTTAGACACACTCGAATTACAATCATCGGCCGACTCTTCGTCACCATTGCCGCCTGAACATGATGCAATCAGACTGTTCAAGTCATTGAAACCCGCGTTTATTGAATCCTTAGGCCTTCAAATGAACCCTTGACGGCTTCAGCAATAACGGAACCAAGAGCTACCGCGTTTAGGGTAAAATCAGAACTTCCTTCGTTCGCCGAGTTCGTGGGTGCTTGAACAGTTGAAGGCCTTTTCCCGCCTTTTTGTGAGGCTGGTTTTCCAGCTGATTTACGCACTTCATCAGTGCTAAGATCCTCCTTAGAAGATTTTTCCTTACCCCTGACCTCTTTAGGAGGGGTTGAAGATGGATTGTCACCCATATTAAGCAAATAAAGCAGCGTTTTTGCTCTTGGTTTTAAAAGCGTGCTTAACCGAGAAGGCGTAAGCTTGCACTGAGTTGGCGCATGCCCTTGCTATTTCATGTGATCTTACAGCACGATAATGAGGTAGAATGTTGTTGATATGCGTATCTTAATGCTTGTTATTCGAAAATTTATCAAACGCAAAGTTCATGTCACGCAATGCCTCAGAAAAAATTATAAAATTTAAAAAGATAATTAAAAAAAATACAAAAAAAAAAATAATAACATTAAAAAAATCTCGTTACGCGGTTTCTCGTTACGTCGTTACGCGTTTTACCAACAACTCTGACCTAATAACATTCGCAACATAAATTAATTAGAACACTTATTACAGTTTGCAAGTTCCCGCTCGAAAGATCTAAGACGATTTGCTGATTACAAAATTTATGTTTTTGTTTATGTCAAACCATATCAAACAATTTGCAAGTTGTTTGCTTCAAAACTTTGTAAATCTTACAAAGGAAAAATAAGAGCGATTTTGATGTAAGATTTGAGAACCCGGCTTGAGAAGCCGACGATGTCCAGCTTGAATTTGCGGTCACTAATGGCGGAAAAAATTTATGTACCGTACCACTTTCCCGTAGATTCGAGACCTTTCAAACGACTTGTTAACATGCTGTCCCTTTTCTATTTTTTTTCGATACGCTAATGGGTCGTTCGAATTTGGCATTTTTATGCTGTCCTCCCTGTCCTCTATCTCACCGCTTTGAGTTGCAATTTCGGATTCATCGCTACGTATTCCGGAATATAATTAAAATCCGAGTCATCGGAGAAGAAACTTTCGTCAGAACAACAGGAAATATCGGACATAATGACATAAAACTATCACTGAAATAGCCAGGGAAATTACTCATTACAAAAGCCCTTGTTTGCATGATAAGATCACATGCTTACTACTGTGACGTACGGCGCTCAGTCCCCTCTTTGCTCGGCCAGACATTTTATCTACGGATTATAGAGCTTGATAAAAAATTCAGAAAACGGTAAAATAATGCTAATGTTGCTAACACATGTGCTAGAGTCACTATATTTTGATGTAAAATAAAAAAAATAAAAGTGTCAGGGACTTCAAAGAACCCACTCACGAGATTACTGTGATGTGGTCTGGCCTGTTTACTGAGAATTTGGGGTTAGTTGTCAATTGGGACGAAAGTTCTGTTCCTTTCTCCTGCCATTCCCGTGGCGAATGAATTAAATTAATTAGAATTAAAATTAAATAATTTACCCGGTCTCGAACCAGACCATCCCTGTCAGCAGGGCAAGTCAAAGGCAAGCGCTGAATTTCCTGCCTGTTCAAAACATAACATATTATGGTAACTAATCAACACGAAAGAACTTCGTTTTCTCCACTTTGGAAAATTATTAGAAGTACTGTTTAATTAGCGATCAATAATTCCAAAACGTGGATTGCATTCAACTGAGACCTAAAGCACAAATCGTATATAAGGGTTCGCTTAACATTTGTGAACGGGAAGACTCAATCTAACCAAATTATAGACTTGTGCAAATACAAATAATGCAATCAAACCATTTCTTTGATTGATTTGATGCCAATTATTTCAAGAGAAGGAAATTAGTGAATCTGATATATGTATTGCTCTAGACAAATGAACATTTTTACGTTCTCTTAAATGGTCCAATTTTGATTCAACCAAGAAACTTCACAAGACCATCTGAGAACAAACATTCGTATGACACGCTCGACTACCCTCAACTTAATTTAGTAACTAATAATCAACGCCACAATTTCTGCTTCCCGAATTTCCTATACCTTTCCCTTCGACTATTCTCTAAAGAAAGAGAAATACCCTTTAAAGTGTGATAATCTCGCTGCGCCAGCGAATTGCTTAAATGAAGGTACATTTCCTTTTCTCCGGTAATTAGTATTGCGTAAAGTAAACCGCACCTTCGAAAGTGATCGTCGAGGCATCCCTTGCAGAATCTGTGCCCGCATCTTGTTTGAACAGGATCCTTAAGCGGTAGATAGCAAATTAAACACTGCAAGTCTTCTTCAACCTCACTGACGAATTCCTCATCATAACCCGAAGGTGAACGTTCTGATGCTACCGCCATTTTGGATACTTGAGCAGCATGGGCTGAAACATAATTCGACCTGAAAACTGATCCGTGACGAAAGGTATTATTTAGGTCAAAATGTGTGGACAGAACCACGCAGAATAACCATGGACTACGCATGTGTCAGGCGGCAGGATGTGACATAAGTGTAGCCTTACATAAGGGTGTTACGGAAACGAAGACCCTCGAAAACGAAGACCTAAGACCTAAGACCCCCGGTCTTCGTTTTCGTACTACGAAAACTAAGACCCCCGGTCTTCCTTTTCGTAGTACGAAAACGAAGACCTTGTAAACAGAGAACCGTAGAAATTACAAGTTAAACAGACATTAAACAGCAACAACGCTTAGTAATATAATACATTACACTTCACGCGTTTCTTCCCATTATTATCCGTATTATCATACGGCCCGTCTTGTCTGTTCTGTTTCGCTATGCGAGCCAATTTGGTGTTGATATTCTCGAGGGTTTCCTCGGGTAAACTTACAACACATATTATTATTCTGGAACAGCAGACAGAATTC